TAAATACATAAAATAAGGTTCCCACGGTAAGGCCGCAATAGCCTTTCCGCTTGTGAATGCAGCGGGTACTTGTGATGTCATACTTCCGCGGGAGCTGTTTGCCATCAAGGTTGGAGGCGGATTTGCGTCTTCACCTCCGCTGCCTGTAGATCCATGGGATTCTGATGTTGGAGCTTCTGTGTCAGAGACCAGGGCTGCAGCAGCTTCCTTATTGGAATCTTCAGCGTCCATCGAAGACTTGGGAAGCTCTGAGGGTTCCTGTGTCGTGGCTTCGACCACATTTGGTACGAGGGGTTCGCGTCGCCAGCGTTGTCTGTTTCGCCGCCATGGCGCCTCCACGGGTGAGTCCTTGTCAGCCGCGGGTGAGTCCTTGTCCGCCGCAGGTGAGTCCTCCTCCGCCTCTGCTCGACTGCTTGTCCTGGCGAACTGAGATCGTAGTAGACATCTATGTATTACAAAACAAAGCTCAAGTACACACTATGGGACTAATGTGCACACTATCAATGAGAAAAACAAGAAGCTGTCCTGTCAAGTAGCCATTGACCACCCAAACTGCGTGGTTCACTCTTAGGCACAGGATACCTCACACGACACTGCTATATATATGTCTATGATATCTTTGATATTGATAAAAAACGGCACAGCCGCAAACATAAATTGAAATCTAAAAATTCTGATTGTTCCTGGAAACTCTTCAAACATTGGTTTCACAGGAAGGTGTGTGGACTCTCCCACAACCTCTGCGCGAGCAGTTGTGGCCACGGAGGTAATCAAATCCTGTGCGCTGCCTGGATCTTGCGTCTCCTCAGAGTCTTGGGCAGCGGCGACTGCGGCCGTTGGCGACAGAGCTTCCGCCGCACTCTGCAGCTTTTGTGTGTTCGAGCTCAACATTGTCTCCAGGCTCTTCACCACAGTCTTTGTCCGCGGCTGCGGTCATCTGAGGTTCTGCTCCAGCACCAGCCTGCGCATCTTCCAGGAGAGTCGCTACTGCAGAGACATCCTCGCTGGAAAATCGACTCTCCTCAGGACTCTCCAGCTTAGGCGCTGCGACATCTTGGTCTGTTGCGTTCGCAGTGGCCACAGGCTTGGGCGGCTCGCCTTGTGGTATGGGTCGAGCTGCCTCACTCTCTTCTGACTCGCCCTCTGCTTGGGAGTGCCTGTCAGAGTCACTGCGCCGCTGAGACTTCTCCCTGCGTCTCCTTCCGCGTCTAGACCTCTTCCTGTGTCGCCGCCGTCGCTTGACAGAACTCTCTGAGCTACGGCGCCGTCTCTTTCTCCTTCTCCGCACGGTGACGTTGAGACGGATAAAAGCGGGCACGACCGTCACTGAGTAGGAGCTATCACTGGAAGACATAGCTTCCCTCATTGAGCCAAATTCAATGAGTTTTGAGCAGCCCCAATAAAGCGGCGGCGCGCACGAACCTCTTGCGGTTGATCGATCAACCACATGGTTTCTTTTTAATATATGTTTTACAGATACTAGATCTACTTTTACTGCATGTTTATTCGCCGCAATTAGGTAAGCACCTGGGCTACCTGATGTTGTTTCATTGTGACATGTGGTGACATAGGGAAAGCGCCAAAACTGCGGAATCCAAAATTCAAACGGCAAAGCCGTGTGTGGAAGCGTAGAGCCAAAAACTCTGGGTGAACTCGTTGAATAAGTCAACCAGCGCCGCCGCAGTGGGACTATATAGGGATAAAAATGAGATAACACTCTCTTTTGCACATGTATTCCACGGTGTGTACACATGTATGAAACACTAAACAGCTGATACTATATATGATTTCCATATGTTTAAATGTTTATCTGTGGTCGTTGTTTATATGCATCTGATCGAAAGCTGTTTTCTTTTTCCAAGCAGCTGCTCTCCAATCAGGGTGCATAACCGCGAGCCCTCCAACAGGAAGGCGTGCAGCCCTTCGCCTGGTAGCGACACTTGCCGCAACCGCCCCGATACTCGCGCACTAGCCACTGGGGCGCCTTCGGCAACGAAGTGAGGGCGGCTTTTGGAGTGGTGCTAGGCTTCTTGTGAACTGCACTGCGGGCGCTCGGCTTCTTCTTGGGCACGGATGAGGCGGCCTCCACCTGCGTTTGCTGCGCCGGTCGCTTCAGGACTGCAGGCGGTGGGTGCTCTTCGGCCGCCTTCGACGGAGTTGGCATGCTTTTCTTGATGGGCTCCACTGCGATGGCTGGCTTGCGCAGGACGCCCAAAGCTGCATCCAACGCAGCCATCGAACTCTCCGCCGCCTCCAAGAAAGGCTTTGTCTCAGCCTCCTCTGCTGGGTCGACCTCCTCCTGGTCTGTAAGAGGCGAAGCTGCCACCATCTGCAAGGCCTCGGCCGGTGGACTCGCGGGCTCTTTGCTGGTTTCGGCCTGCGGCTCCTGCTTGCTTGGGACGGGCGGTGCCTCCGTCCTCGGGCGCTTTGCGCTCGGTGCCTGACTCGCTGGGGCAGATTGCTGGTCCATTTGGCTCTGAAGCCTTTCAAACAACGCGGTGGCCTGTGACACTTTGCTTCGCGGATCTGGACTCTTGGTCATGTGGCGATGTCGGACGCCAGCGGGAGCTCTGCCGCCAAGGATATCCATAAACCGCTCCAAAACGTTCTCGGCCGCTGAGAGCTGTGGCGCAGGTGCAGATCGACCGTCGCCTCGGTCCAACATGGAGTGTGTTTTGCGCATGGGGATCTGCGCCTTGATGGAAGCCAGCTGGAGGAACCACCTCTCGTCCATCTCGACCAACTCGTTTCCGTTCACCGCAGAGAAATCTGCCCAGGTTGAAGGAAACTCCTGCGCGAAGTCCTGTGGATTGGCCGGCAAGACGTGCACCACCTCCAATGCCGGATTGTTGTTGACCTGCACCATCTTCTTGAAGTGGCCTTTGAAGATCTTGAACAAGTCGAAGAAATCTTGGCCATTGGCTTCTTCCATGCCACCTCCAATGTGGAGCTTCAAGGCAACCAAGGTCTGGAGAGTTGGCTCCGACGGACGCCGCAGTCCAAGGGACATACTCCACACGCACAAGGCATCGGTCTTCTGGACCGAAGTCAACTGACCACGCCGGCCAACTTCTCGGAGCACATTCTCAGTCACGTAGTGGCCGAGGTGTTGAAAGTCCTGCAGAGCCATCGCGGCCCTCGAGCGCCGCGCGGCCTACGCAGCTGCTTGATCCCTCCCGCGGGCGCAGCGACTTAGAGGGTGACAAATCGTTCCACGGCCCAGCCGCAATGTAAACAAACATTTAGTAAAC